GTAATTATAGCAAGGAACAAAAGACTGGAGACAGGTGAGTTTTTAGTTATAGCAAGAACAAAAGACTGGAGACAGGTGAGTTTCTAGTTATAGCAAGGAACAAAAGACTGGAGACAGGTGAGTTTCTAGTTATAGCAAGGAATAAAAGTCTAAAAACTCACCTGTCTCCGGTCTTTTGTTCCTTGCTATAACTTGAAACTCACCTGTCTCCAGTCTTTTGTTTCTTTCTATAACTAAAAACTCACCTGTCTCCGGTCTTTTGTTCCTTGCTATAACTAGAAACTCACCTGTCTCCAGTCTTTTGTTCCTTTCTATAACTAAAAACTCACTTCTCTCCGGTCTTTTGTTCCTTGCTATCACTTGAAACTCACCTGTCTCCAGTCTTTTGTTCCTTTCTATAACTAAAAACTCACCTCTCTCCGGTCTTCTGTTCCTTGCTATAACTAGAAACTCACCTGTCTCCAGACTTTTGTTCCTTGCTATAACTACAAACTCACCTGCCTCCAGTCTTTTGTTCCTTTCTATATCTAGAAACTCACCTCTCTCCGATCTTTTGTTCCTTGCTATAACTAGAAACTCACCTGTCTCCAGATCTTTTGTTCCTTGCTGTAACTACAAACTCACCTGTCTCCAGTCTTTTGTTCCTTTCTATATCTAGAAACTCACCTGTCTCCACTCTTTTGTTCCTTTCTATAGCTAGAAACTCACCTGACTCCAGTCTTTCATTCCTTTCTATAACTACAAACTCACCTGTCTCCAAACAAATACCAACTGAATCCATGCTTCTCCCTATGAAATATACACTCAGAACCAATCAAATAATACCGACGGAACCCATGCTTCTACCTGTGAAATATACACTCGGAACCATTCAAGTAAAAAAATACCAATTTAATCTGTTTCATTCTGATTATAATGACAGCCTACAGAGAGAACAGTGAGATAACTTTTAACTTCTTTGTGCATTCAGGTAATAAACAAAAAAATCAAATTCTGGTCAACACACACTAACAAGTATCTTTATAAAACTAGTGAATATGCAGTATGGCATTTTTTTATTTTTATATGTTCATAACAGAAAAGCTAACTGAACAAACCAAATCTTTCTGCTCCAACTCATAGGACTCAACAGACAGTAGAAGATCCTGGTAATCAGCAAAAAGTTGTGTAAACTGTTGCTGGACCTCTACAACTTGTTTCCTAGTAAAAAAAAATCACTGGAGTTAATCAGAGTTTAAAATAAAATCTCACCATAACTGAATTGTATAGTAACTTATTATGGAACTAATACTAACTGTTTAAGTTGTAATTTTTATTATTATATAAATTTACTGTTTCATGAAGTAGACTGTCATAAACTGTGGTACACTTAATACTTACTGTAGTACTTTCTTTAGTAATGCAATTATCACTATAACCAGTCCTAAAATTAACTGTAGTACTTTCTTTAGTAATGCAATTAACACTATAACCAGTCCTAAAATTAACTGTAGTACTTTCTTTAGTAATGCAATTATTACAATAACCAGTCATAAAATTAACTGTAGTACTTTCTTTAGTCATGCAACTACAATATCACACATAAAATAACATAACCTAACAAACTACCAGTAACAACATTATACAGAACTAGAACTACAAGTTATGACAATATCATACATAAACCAAACATACCTGATATCAGTACTGACATAAAATAATGGTATCCAACAAATTGAAATAAACATACCTTTCCTCTTTTCTACAAGCTTCTTCTTCTTGCAGTTTTGCTTGTAAATTTGTAATCTCACATTTTAGTTGCTCCACATCAGCTGTGTTGCAGAGATCTAGACGCTGCAGGCGATGTTGAGACTCATGCAGTAAGTTGTCCAAATCTGCACATCTACAAAATGATCACAATAGTTACACAAAGTTTTGTACATGAGTATTTAGAGCTTCAAAAGCAAATTCTATATGGTTTTAGATATATTATGAATACCAAGTGTTCAGTTTTCAAGACAGTTTTTATTTCAAATGTTGATAACTTTCATATTAAATTTTAAAAATCAAGCGACTGGCCACTGACACTTGTATGCAACTTTTTTTTTCTTCTTCTTATTCCTATTTTTTGTTTAATTTCTTAAGATACCTGAAATGACATGAAACAAATTGTCAAAAACATTGTACACTGCACACCAAATCTGAAGACACCTGTGACACAACTAAACATTTATATACATCATCAATTCTAAGGGCTGATGAGACAAAGAAAGATGAATGTGTAATTATGTCAGTCAAACTAAATCTACCACATCCAGTTACTGTTTAACGTCATTATTCATCATCTTTACACAATGATATTCAGTTTGTAGTTTTTACACACCACCACTATTTACTATGTTAACTCATATTGTTAACACTACTAACCATTACTTTTACATACCTAGTTTCCAGACTTTTGTTCCTTTCTATAACTATTGGTTCTGAGTGTATATTTCACAGGTAGAAGCATGGGTTCAGTCGGTATTGTTTGATTGGTTCTGAGTGTATATTTCACAGGTAGAAGCATGGGTTCAGCCAGTATTGTTTGATTGGTTCTGAGTGTATATTTCATAGGGAGAAGCATGGATTCAGTTGGTATTTTTTTATTGGTTCTGAGTGTATATTTCACAGGTAGAAGCATGGGTTCAGTCGGTATTGTTTGATTGGTTCTGAGTGTATATTTCACAGGTAGAAGCATGGGTTCAGCCAGTATTGTTTGATTGGTTCTGAGTGTATAATTCACAGGTAGAAGCATGGGTTCAGTCGGTATTGTTTGATTGGTTCTGAGTGTATATTTCACAGGTAGAAGCATGGGTTCAGCCAGTATTGTTTGATTGGTTCCGAGTGTATATTTCATAGGGAGAAGCATGGATTCAGTTGGTATTTTTTTATTGGTTCTGAGTGTATATTTCACAGGGTACCCAGGTAGAAGCATGGGTTCAGTCGGTATTGTTTGATTGGTTCTGAGTGTATAATTCATAGGGTACCCAGGTAGAAGCATGG